GGACATTTGTTGTAGGACATCAATGATCCCGGCAGATCTTTTTTTTTTTTAAATGTTTTAATTCTTTATTTCTTTTTTCAATTTGACAATTTTTATTTTCAAATAAAATAAAGCTTGGGATACAGAAGAGAGAAGGGGAGGTAGGGTGGGACATCATACATTTTAATCATACAATTTATCCGTTGTTACATGGTGCCATAGTGTACAATGACATGTTATACATTTTGTTCATCTAAACTTGCCCTCTGGTGTTGGGTTCTGGGATCTTCTTTGCTCCTTATCCTTGTACGTGTAAGTGTACCCCTACGGTCCCTAACGGAATGGACACTACTGCTTTGCAGCGATTTCAGAGTGTGCCACCCATTTGTGTTCTCCTTAGGTTATCCGAGTTCTAGGCCTTCCGTGTCTCTCCTCAAGTATCCCGTGAGGGAGGGGAGTAAAATAACTGGTGGGGTGTGGGGGGGGGAGTAGGAGGGGTAGTGGGTTTGCGAGATCAGTGTGTAGCCCTCCTACCGGTTCTGTCCTCTTGTTGATTTCAATGTATTTCTCTCTATACCCTCGTACTACTATATACTCATATCTATCTTCTCGGTCCACTCTGGTTTATATCCCTTGGGCTCCATCTTGTACGCCTGGGGGCATATACTTGTTGTATTGTTAAATCCCCTTGGGGGTCGCTCTAGTGGTTTGGGGACTATTCATGTCCTCTTGTCTCTTGGGGGCGTGTATGGTTTCCCATCTAAGTTGAGCTTCCTCAAAACTCTAGCTGTTGCCGTAGGCTTTTCTCGCCACCATTTTGTATTGTATGTTAGTAGAGACCTGCTTTATCAGCGCTCTTTTTGTCGGTGCTGTTATAGTTTTCCATTCTCTAGCTATGAGCGTCAGGGCTGCTATTAGTATGTGGAAGATCAATATTGCCCCACTCCCTTGGAACTGGCCCAATTCCATAAATAGGAGGCACATTTCTGGGGTGATTGTGAAGCTGGTGTCTACAACCTCTTTAATAATGCTCTCTACCATCTCCCAGTAGGGACGGATCGCCTCGCACGTCCACCACACGTGCTACATCGTGCCCTCCGTCACCCCACATCTCCAGCACTGTGCAGATGTTCCTGGGTATATTTTTGCCAGTCTGGCTGGCACCATGTACCATCTATAATACACTTTCCTCATTAATTCTAGGTGTGTTGGACACAATGTCTTCCCCTTGTGTGCCGTTACTGCTTTTGCCCATTGGGTTTCATCGAATTGTTTTCCCATATCCCCCTGCCAGGCCTCACTGAATCTATCCAGATGTACAGGGGTACCCACATTTAGGAGCGAGTAGCACATAGATATGATCCCTTTTGACTGCTTTTGGTTCAGACACATTCTCTCTAACACTGTAATTGTGCTCACCCCGTTCGCTGTGGGTGTTTGGGCCCCTAGCATTGATTTAATTTGTAGATACGGAAATATCAGTCCGGGGGGGTAGGTTAAATGTTTCTTGGAGAATGGGGAATGGTATTAGATTGTGTGCCTCTAGGAGGTCCCTCACATGTGTACACCCTCTCTTTGTCCATTCCCTGTGGTCAAACGTGTTGTTGGCTGCATGTAGGTTAGTGGGGTCGCCAGTGACCATAGTAGCATGGACACCAATGCCTTCTGTGTTTTGTCCCAGGCTTTCAGCAGTGTTTTGGTGGTGGGTAGTATGTGAGGTTGGGTTGGGCGCATCTTTTTAGGTACCCATACTAGTTTCCGAAGTCTACCCCTTGTAACCAGTGATCTTCAATTTCTAGCCATTAGGGGGTTGTACTATAAGTGTGTATCCCCACCATTGGGGCCAATAGTGTCGCCTGGTAATAGGTTTTGATATTTGGCAAAGCAAGACCCCCGGTGGGGATAGGTCTATATAAGAATTTTGTCGCTTCTCTCACTCTCTTTTGTGCCCATACAAATTTGGTGACCAGTATTTGTATTTTATTCAGGTATGAGGATGGCAGGTCTATTTGTAATGTTCTAAATAGGTATTGTAGCTTGGGGAGGAGAGACATTTTAAATGCCGCCATCCTTCCCAGCCAGGATAGGTATTTATCTTTCCATGAGGCCAAGCTGGCTTCCAGTTCCTTTTGTAGGGACTCGTAGTTGGCCTTGAATAGGCCTCCTAATGTCTTGGTTAGTTTAATTCCTAGGAAGGTGACACTGTCCGTCCTCCAGTCCAGTTCAAATTTCTCCCATAGTACTTGCATTACGTCATTGGGTATCCCTATCCCCATCGCCTGGGTTTTTGTTACGTTTAGTTTATAGTATGAACTGTCTCCATATTCTTTTATTACTTGTAGTAAGTGTGGCATTGATATTCGTGGTTGGGTCAGAGTCAGTAGCACATCGTCCGCGAATAAATTGGTTTTGTATTCCTTTATCCCTATGCGCACTCCATGTATGGAGTCGTGTTGTCTAATCTTAGAGGCCAATGGCTCCAGAGCTAGGACGTAAAGCAGGGGTGACAGAGGGCACCCCTGCCTCATTCCATTCGAGATGCTGAGGGGGCTAGACAGGAATACCGCATTGAGTACCTGGGCTTTCGGTGCGCTGTACAACGCCTTTACCGCTGACCTAAAGTTGCTTGGATACCCAAACTTTGCCATGACCGCTTCCAGGAATGTCCAGTGCAGGCGGTCAAAGGCCTTCTCTGCGTCTAGGGATACCACAAGGCCTCCCCCTTTGTGTATTCTGGGTAGACTGTGCAGTATGTTTAAAACTTTGCGCGTGTTGTCCGCTCCCTGTCTCCCCACCACAAATCCAACCTGATCTGAGTGGATCAACCGGGGGAGGAGAATCTCATTGCATACAGTTTGGCGAATATTTTCGCATCTGTATTTAGCAATGAGATGGGTCTGAAGTTTTAAGGGACTGTATGCGGTTTCCCTGGTTTTTGTAATGTTATGATATGGGCTAGTAGTGAGTCCGTGGGGAGAGCTTGTGTGTTGGTCGCCTCCGTGAACATGTGTACAAGTTGAGGTGCTAGTAGATGTAGAAAAGTTTTGTAATAGCTATTGTCCAAGCCATCTGGGCCTGGGGCTTTGCCGTTTGGCAGGTTCCTTATTACGGTATGGATTTCTTCCTCTGATATTGGTTTTGTGAGCTCTCTCGCCTGTTGGGGTGTGATTTTGGGGAGGTTTATTGTGGACATGTATGCATTAATGTGTTCCTGTGTGGGATGGTAAGTGTTGTTATTTTTATTTATGTTGTACAGGGAGGCGAAATAATTTGAAAATTCATTGCAGATGTCTTTTGGGATCATTTTCTTTTCCCTCGTTGGGGACATGAGAAAAGCAATTTTTTGATTTGCCCTTCGTTCTTGTAGTCTCTTGGCTAGGAATCTGCTAGCTTTATTCCCTTGTGTGTATTATTTTATTTTTAATCTTTGGAGCATGCATCCTGTCTGTTCTAGTGCTCTCGGTGTATTTTGGCCGTAATGTTAGATATTTGTGTTTTTAAGGTGGTCATGGCGTCTTGGTAGTCTGAGCCCAAGCTACCCCTATTGGGTGTTCTGCCAAGTGTGTTTTTTTTCTTTTCTTTTTTTTTTTTTTTGTACAAAACTGCCAAACTGTGGCATACCCTCAGCATGTCAATAAGCAGTATACGATACCCTTGAGTTCCTCCATGGTCGGTTTATCATGACCAGTCTCTCAACTGTCTCTCGGTACTGCTTGCAATCTATTGGCGTAATGACGGTGTCTTTCAAGCCTTCTCTTTAACTTTTCTCCAGTCCATGGAGGTACCGCCCGTCCTCTGTGGGCTCCGCCGCTGGCTCGGCTCTGACATGCCCCACCGTTGCAGCAACCAGGCTCCTTCCTCAGGTGTAGTTATGGTAGACACTTTCCCTCCTCTGGACACTAGTACTTTCACCGGGTATCCCCATCTGTATGGTAGTTTGTTAATCCTAAACTGTTCTGTGACACTTTTAAATTCTCTCCTTCTTTTTAGCGTATACGTTGATATGTCCCACTTCTTTTACGTGGTAGTAGTGCATTTTTATGAGGACGTCTCTCGGGGTATCTTGGGGTAGGAAGCTGGGTTTGGTCGTTCTATGGTACCTGTCCATAAGTAGCTGATCTTGTGGTATATCAGGTTCCAGCTTTTTCAGCATGCCGTGCAGGTATGCTGCCAATTCTGCTTGCCCCACTTCCTCTTTTATTCCGTGTATCCGCAGGTTATTTCGTCGGGCTCTATCTTCCATGTCAGCTAGTTTTAATGCATATGTTTTCATTTGGTTTTGTAGCTCTGTCACCTCTTCTTCCAGCCCTCTGTGGGCTTCAGCCAGCTCTGCCATTTTGTTTTCCGTCCCAGTTGTTCTCACCTCCAGGCTCTTGGATATCTTTATGCGTGGCCCCCATTGTGTTTTTGAAGCTGTTTTCCAGCCTAGCAGACATCTCCTCCAGCAGTGTCCGCAGCATCTCCTGTGTGAAGGGAGCTTCACTGTTTGGGGACTTGCTATACTGTTCAGCAGGTTCTTCGGCGCCATCTTGGATTTCCTCCACCAAGGCCTGCTTCCCCTGCAGCGTCCATGAGGCAAAAAATGCGGTCTTTTCCGCCTTATCCACTTGCCTCTTCCCTTTAGCTTGTGACATGCTGGCTTGGGGTACCTGTTGCCTCTGTTTTATTTTCGGCTGTGATCGCCAAATTGCTCCTGTGGGTCTCGTCGGAGCGGAGCGCTCAGTGCATGGACACGCCCCCCTTAATTCTTTATTTTAACCATTTTAATTTAATTAACAAAATTATAGACATTTAGATAGGTAGATGAGAGTACACAGTATCACACATTTTGTCCAGGTTCTCAGCACATTTTGTTACATGCAATGCTTAACTTCTGATACAGACAGTTATGTTCATCATAATAGTGCACCACCCTTTTGGGAAGAGTCAACAATTTGGTTTGGCTTTCCAGCCTTTCTTTAATGTGATCTGTAGAGCTGGGTTCATAATGGAATGCTTGAGTTAGCGATATAAGTCCTTTACTAAGGATTAGGGGTAATTATGTGGCTCTCTTTTGCATGTTGTGCATCTTTTGTGTGCAACCTGTACAGTGCTAAAGCTGGGGGGGCTTCCCCCCAGAATGTTTCCCTCAAGGTAGCAGAGAGGGTGTCGATAGTCACAGATTCAGATAGCCCCTTGATCCTGATGTTGTTCCTTCTGGAACGATTGTTAAGGTCTTCATGAGCATCTTCAAGTATCCAGACTTCCTCTTGGAGGGCTTGTACGGCTTGTTCATGATTTGTGGAGTTGGAGGTGACTTGATCCATCTTGTCCTCCATGTCTGCAGCTCTCCTAGACAGGTCTGCCAGGCCTTCTCTGATGGGAGCCAGCTGCTTTGTAAATTCAGTGGCCATGTTAGTTTTAATCTCTTTGAGTAGGACCTGCAGATCTATTTTGGTGATGGGGGAGAGATCTTGTGAGTGGCTATGGTCACTAGTTTCCTATTTGGAGTGAGGGCCATCACTACGTGGCTGGTCACTCTCTCCATGGCTGCGGAAAATGGGGGACACAGTGAGATTGTGTCGGAGGGATGCTATGGAGGTCAAGCTCGGTACACTTTATGTTTGGGTTTTAGGTAGGTTTGACTGCTTTTGTGTGCTTGAGTATTACCTGCTTATGCGAAGTTCTAACACGATGCTGCCATATTCACCGGAAGTTAGGCACCACCCCCAGATCTTTGTTTTTTACTAGGGTTGCAATACTAATAATACCCTTTCATAGGCTTCCCAAAATGTAGTTGGGTGTTAAAGCTAAATAATATTAAGCTCTCTCAGAGAAGCAATCTGACTAGTGTTTGGGGCATAAATGTTTGAAATAGTGTGTCAAGTAACATGCATAAAAAATTAAACAGAAATATGTCTACCAGTAGAACCTGAATGTGTGACGGGTGGATATGACAAACAAAATAGCAACCCCTTTCATCTTAGAATGAGGGAGTCCAGTTTCGTTTCCAAGACTGATCAAGTGTAATATTCCTCAAAATCCCTAACATATATGTTGGCATATTTTTAAGTGAACATAGTGCCTATGGTAGTTCCTATCAATTGAAGATAAAACTGTCTAAAATAAAACATGTTTTAAAATGAATTCAATAGACTATAAAAAAAATAATCATGTAATTTAGCAAACAGACTTTTATGTCCAAGGTGGCCCATTTGAAGTTCTTCCCCCATTAAATACTTGCCATCTCATTATGGTTTTTGTGTCTTTAAGATAACCATGAGTGTGTTTCTGCAAATAATGATCAATAAAATATATAAACTTAGCTGTATTATAATTAATGCTCCCTGTAAGCAATGTTATGTGTGGCTTCCTCATATTTTTGTGAGAAGAATGGTCATTATTAAAGAACTTGAACTTGTATTTAGATTTTTAAATCAAATTATTTTTATTAGACTTTTCACAATGATTTTAAGTTTGTTATTAAATCAAATACTAGAAATGTTTCTTCAGTTATTTTTAGGTTTTTGTATAAATAAAAATGCAATATGTTTCTTCTATATATTTCCTAATAATTAAGTATTTTCTCTTTTGGATGAGGTTATTTGGGTCAAAACCTCTTTTTACAGAGAGGAAAGTGATTTCTCAAAATATCTACGAAACATAATTTAAAATGTTTCTAAGTATGTATATTTATTTTGATTTATATACATTTTAGACCTCAGTTTTCTTGGGTATTTTGTCATTAACATTCCTTTGCAATGTCTAATTGAGTATAAGTAGATTTCCTTGTTGTTCTCAAAAAAGTCTGCAAATTAACAATTATATCAAAAGAATTAAATGTCTAAGTACTCAATTAAATAGTTTTTGATAAGCTTTTCAATTTCTTAATACATTTAAAAATTACTTTTCAAAATATTAAAACAATAAAATACATTGTATGTAAAAACATGTGGATATATTACAAAATATTAAAATATTTTACAGAATATTAAATAATTTGAAAAGTTTATCCAAATATATTACATAATTTGAAAAGTTTATCCAAAAGTATTACATCGAGGCCTAATTTGCATCAAACTTCAAACTTTTCTGAAGGGCAAAAATGTCATCATTAGTGAATGGTAAATCTGTGAGATTAAATTATCGTTTGTTTTTATCTTTTTTTGTGTTACAACAATCTTTACGTTAGTAATAACTAGACTTATGCATTGCAGGATTGTTCGGTTCAGCCAAATGACTTTTCACAAAAGGGAAATTACGTTTAGGACATCCAACACTCCATGTGGCACACCATGTGGCAGTTCGGTTTGGCCCAACGCTGTACATGAAAAACTATGCAGGAAAACATTTAAGCATGCTAATAAAAGTGAGAAAAAAAGGCCTCTAGTAGTGTGCAATTCAAAAATGGCCACAATGCTGGATGCCTAGCCAATTAGGTTAGCTTTTAATTCTTGTCAACTGGTCATAATTACAAAATTATGTTATAAGTTTTTATTTTGCAATCTTGTGTTAGGTACAGCAGGAGTCATTTGCAATCTTGTGCAGGTACAGCAGGAGTCATTTTTAGTTGAAAAAAAGAGATGAGAAAAAAAAGGGAAAGAACAATGACAGTGGGCAATGGACAACCAACTTGCCCCTTCAAAACTTAGAAGAACAAAGTTTACTCATAGATCTAGTCTGTAGTGTCAGTGACCATCCTTCAGTTTAAAAAAACAAAAACACTGCACTAGTAGCAGCAGGAGCCATTTAATTTGAAATGTCCCTCTTTTAAAATGAAATGATTCCTGCTGCAGCTGTGGCAAAACCTTTTTTTTAATGTCTTTCATTGTAGTGGTGAGTCTTTTAAGAGAATTTGATGATAGGGCACTGTTTTCCAACATGAAAGACGGTCACTGATCTACAGACTGTCTGAGTGGGAAAGCTTTGGTCTTCTTGGGGTAGAGAGAAAGAATGAGTAGATCATAATTTGCCCTCACCTGTGCACTCACTTTTTTCAGGAGAATAAAAAAATGATCATCCTTAAACAGTGTCCTATCAGCAGAAGGCATAACCACAAACTAGACTCAGCTAGAAAGGCTGAGACCACTGCAATGAAAGACTTTTGAAAACATTGCCACTAACAAAAACTAAGTTTTAGAATACTTTTTTTCTACAAAGAAATTAAAAAACAAACAAAAAAAAAACATGCTACATTCAGTGCAGGCAGGGTTCACTGCCCCATCCTGGATATTATTGAGGGAAGAAGCCACTGCAAATAAAATAATCTCTCTCTTTAGAAATAATGCATATATAAAACATGCAAAAATACTAGAGTATTGCACAGTGGTGGATCCAGAGCCTGATCTCGGTAGGGGCACTTGTAGATTATTTAAAGAAAGCTCAGTGTAGTGGTTATGGTGTCAAAAGTGCCGGTATCCCCTCCCAGAGTAAGTAGTCAAACCGTTTAAGAACAGTTTGACAACTTACCTGCTTGGAAATGGGGCTGTAGTAAGGCATAGGAGCAGTGGTGTGTGTGAGTGGTGCAATGTGTAAGGGGTGCAGTGTGTGTGTGTGTATGTGTGAGGGGGACAGTGTGTGAGCAGTGTGTGTGTGTGTGAAGGTTGTAGTGTGTGAGTATTGCAGTGTATGTGTGAGTGTGGGCAATGCGTGTGTATGGGGGCAGTGTGTGTGTGTATAGGGAGCAGTGTGTGTGTATGTGGGTAGTGTATGGGGGCAGTGTGTGTGTGTATGAGGGCAGTATGTGTGTATGAGGGGCAGTATATGTGTATGGGGCAGTATATCTGTGTATGGGGGGCAGTATGTGTACATGGGGGCAGTGTGTGTATGGGGCAGTGTGTGTATGGGGGCAGTATGTGTGTATGGGGCAGTGTGTGTATGTATGTGGGGGGGGTGTGTGTGTATATGTGTATGGGGGGCAGTGTGTGTATGGGGGCAGTGTATGTGTATGGGGGCAGTGTGTGTGTTGGGGCAGTGTGTGTGTATGGGTGTGTATGTGTGTATGGGGGCAGTATGTGTGTATGGGGGGCAGTATGTGTGTACGGGGGGCAGTGTGTGTGTATGGGGGGCAGTGAATGTGTGTAGAGTGTGTGTGATAAGGGTAGGGGGGCTTTTTTATATAATATATATATATTTTTTATTTAATTAAAATAAATATTTATGTCCCCCCTCCCTCCTTACCTTTACTCGGAGGAGGGGGACACTTCTTAGTGGTCCCAGTGGGATTCCCTGGTGGCCCAGTGGGGAGAGTGAACTCTAGCCCGCGCTCCAGGGCTAGAGTTCACTCTCGCGAGATTTAGAGCGTTCCTGTGGTAACCACGGCAACGCTCCGTGCTCGGGAGAGTAGGACCCGGAGAAGCTGCAGGCAGAGGTCCTGGATCCTCCTCTCTCCCTCCATCCTTCCCCTGCCAGCTGTCAGCACAGTGCCTGCGGACCGGGGAGGGAGATCTCTGATCTCCCCTCTGGTCCACAGGCACATTGCATGGCTAGAACCTGCATGTGCTGGCAGGGGAGAGGGAGACCCTCGGTTTTCTCGGAGGGGCAATTGCCCCGTTGCCCCCCCGGATCCGCCACTGGTATTGCAGTATGCAATGATACCTTTTTTTATTGGACTAACATAATACTTAAAAGATAAACTTTTAAGAGTTTTCCTCTCTTCCTCAGACATGAAGCAATACTGCTCAATATCAGTATTGAAACAACTGATGTTATCAGAAAAAGGGTAGGGGTGAGTGGAGTGTCATAAATAGAATATTTTCCTGAGAGTGAAAGGTGTAGATTGGTTGACAATAGCCAGAGCAAATAAATCAAAAGAGAAGAGTCAATCATCTAATAACAAAATACACACCAAAAAAAACAACAGCAGAGCAGGACATACAAATAGAGATGAGCGAACCCGAACTGGAAAGTTCGGGTTCGTACCAAACATTACAGTTTTTGGACCCCGGACCTGAACACGGACATTTCAGTGTATGTTCGGGTTGGAGTTCAGTGTTCGGCAATTTAATGGGGTGTTTTGAAAGGCTGCAGGGCAGCCAATGAACAAGTGTTTGACTCGTGTGCCCTAGGAAGTCATCACAGCCATGCCTTTTAATGGCATGACTGTGATTGGCCAGTGCAGCATGTGAACCAGCCTCTATATATCAGTTGGAGTCACGTAGAGCCGCACGTCACATGAGCGTTATTAGTGTAGGGAGAGGATGCTGCAGCTGTGAGGGACAGATAGGAAAGAATTCTGGTGTTGAATCTGCAAACTACAGCGATTATTTTTGTGGGTGCTATAATACGTTTTTGTACCCTGCCCTGAGCCCAGTGCCACAGAGAGTGCAGTCCACTTGCA